TCATTGTACATGCCATTCATAAACACTGTGATTGTAGCTTCAGTTTCATCTCTAAAAGGAGTAGTAGATGAACTTCATCATTCTAAGTATTGTCCATCAACCATGAGAACTATAGTGGTTTACTTAAGCTTTACAGTTTACATCTTAGAAAATGAAATTTTCAGATGACACATTTGTGCCAAATGTGGAAAGTGTCGTCGAAATGATTCGTCTGTCATGTTTTTTCATCAACCGACGAAATTCTTATGATTCCCATCAATGAAGAAGAAATAACTGATGTTTATCTTGATTCAATTGATTCAAATGCGATCTCATGCATATTTGTTGGTAGTTGACTATTGATATTAGTTTAAGATTAATGATATATAGAAATACAACAGTTGGAAGTATAAGAATCATTCATGTATCATGTCAGAAACCAATGTGATATGCTAGAGTGATATATAAGCTGTAATGGACATGATTGGCCAAAGAGAATATAATGGTGATAATAACTATTTATTTTAGTTATAATTCTATGGAGTTCATTTTAGTTGAGGACTCAGTTTCGCTTGAACAAAATAGATGAACAAAATCTTTCCGACACATGGAACGTAGCTGTACATAAGAGAGACAATTGATCATCACGAGTTCTCTTTATATGGCGTTGTTCCTTGGCTTTTGCATTTTTGAACAAAATTTTTGGATTCTAATAATTCGATGTTTATGTAATAAGGGTTAGTATCCATCGTTCGATAGTTATGAATCATTATAATTACGATAAGTGAGGAGTGCACCAAGAATAAACTAGTTTCAGTTTTATGCCACCAGCATGATATTTCAAGAAGCACAACTTTATGTGCGTCGCTAACGATATCGACGATTATGATTATTATCACAATCATTATCAATCCTTTCTTACATCATTCTCGCCAAGTGAAAAGAGCATGAATTTTATTTTCAGATAGATCAGATTAATGAACACGAATATTGGAGACGGGATGATTGGAAAGTATCTATTCATGTGTTGTATCATTTCTTGTGAAAAGAGGACTTCTAAGCCATAATTCATACTCTACAAAATATGAGCACTCATTTTCCGTGAATTTTATTCGCCAACTCGACGATTATCAGCTGATTCATTGAGTTTTAGATTTAACTATAAGAACGAAAGAGATAAGCGAATAATACTCTTGGTAAGTTACATCTCATTCACCACTCAATACATTCTCGTTCCTGAAAGATGTGAAATTTCATCTCAAATCCTTCAAGCAGCTGAATGAAACACCGATTAAAATTGTTCATGACTTCTGAGATCTTTCGTACATTTATCAATTTAGTTAACTTCTGCTCAACACTGTATCAGAACTTTAACAAGACACTATTAATTACACTTCGTTTGCCTTGCAGTCTGCAATGAATAGAAGTTTTTGTCAGCTACTATTCAAATATGAAGCATATGAGAATAAACGTGTCCTTTATTTTATTCTGTTACCCTGTAGTTTATCATATGAATATCAATATTCATGCTCTGCATGGAAGAGGAGAAATTAGAAGAATACAATCATGGTTTAAATCAGCCAAGTTCTATACCACTTGAAATCAACTAGATTTGACCATCGGTTTTGTCTTTATGATGAAACTATTGTTGAATAGGATGGTTGGAATGTACGCATTCATTTATGTTATCGTATTGTTTTTAATTGGCAACCTCAATAATTATTATCATAGAGATGATCGTGACAGAATCTAACACGTTTCACTTTGGTTCCTTTTCAATATCACATAAAAACTGATAATCGAAAATCTCTTATTTCATTGTTAGACTGGTCGTTGTTGAATTACATGATTTCCAACTTCAATACTTTCCCATTATAATATAACCAGTGATTCGTTTCAGTAAAACCATAAGATCTGATAGAAAGAGACATAAATGAATACGATTATCACAGTTATTCTCTTAATGCTTGTAACTTAACCAGTCAGACAGATTCTAAGTTTTCATTTTCTTGGGCTGAATTATATGAAAATCTAAAAAAGATCGCGGATATTCACTTTACATGTTAAAAAAATGCTACTAGGAACATAACGTACTTTAGTGTGAGGCATCAAATTAAAAAACAAATCAATGATAGAAAAAATTCAGCTACTAGGAGTACTCGAACCTTCAAGACGAGCTCTTTAGTAACTTTCCTTGATATCCAAAGTAACTGATGGCAGGTGTGCTACCTGTCGTTACTAGATTATTCAATAATGACATTACCAATTTTAAAAAAAGAACACTTGGCATAATACTATTCAATGATTAGATAAAAAGAGGAAAAAATCGTCTATGATGATTAATGAGTAACTCCGCACAGCGAAAACGATTATTTGTTAGATTGTTTCCTCTAAACAGAACATTTACCGTCATTTATATAACCGACACAGAAAAATATTCTTCAGAAAAGTAATCATGAACACAACAAATAATAATAAGAAGATGCATATCTACGAGATGTGGCAACAACGAATCAGTTGTGCCTCGCTTGAAAACCAATGGATAAAGAAAAACATATGATAATACTATTCCGACGACATCAGCACAACCAAAAAGGTGATTAAATGTTTCGATACGAAGAACTATAAAACATTAAAGGAAAAATCAGTTGCATCGTTAACAGACGAGCGGATAAGATGAAACATTGTATTCTTGCGAGCTCACAATAACAAATATTGGTGAAATATCAATACTCAATGAAACTGATGATTTAAATAATACACTTATGAGTTCGCTGTTGCATGCAGAGTTCCATCGATAGCCGAGCTCCTTCCATTTACGGAATAAAAACTCCTTTTAGCTAACTACTACTTAAAGTCCACCAGAAACACACCGTGAAGTTTTGACATCCATTCTAAAGCAGATGAATAAATGTCACGAATTCATAAAAAGAAGACTTCAAAGGACACTTTAAAACTATTTTCAACCAGCATTTTCCTCAAATGACAACGCGATACTCTCTAAAAAATCGGTTTATTACCGAACGTGTACCCAGGCCAAGAACCTGTCGGGTTTCGTACCAATTTGCAGAATCTTAGAAAGTTTGGCAGACAAAGATCCGAGCGCTTTTAGGTTCTATAAATAGATACAAAACCCAAAAGGTTCTTATCCTGGATACAGGTTCGGTAATAAACCGATTTTTTTTAGAGTGTACCCTTGTTCAGTAACGAGAAATTTCTTACAAAACGAAAACAACGGTGTCAGTATTTCCGTGAAGAACAACACCATTACATAAGATGAAGCCATGGTCATACCGCGCCGAACCTTTAGTTAGCCACCCGAACCATTCAGTTCTATCGGAGTCACCCAAAAAAATCTCTACACCTGACCGATCCATGCAACAAGAAAAACTGCAGTAGCGCAAAAGCCTTAACGAAAAAAAACTGCAACACTGCCGTCACTTCGCTCAACTGCGGTAATAACACATTCCAAACGATGAACAAATTCAAGACAGCAATCAACACCACAGTCATCACCTCGCCAAAAAGATACCTTCACTCGAAACCACACAGGGGAAAATTGCGCAGATGTGATCCAGTCAAAAAAAACATCGAAACTCAAAAACAACTCTTCAATAGATTCATTGACTCTCATCGGTAACTAATCAATCGTGTATGAAGTTTATATATTAAAACTTTGTCAAAATCTAGAATCCCTCCTCGAAAATCAAAAACGTCAACGATGAAAGCGAATAGCACTGATGCGGAGTAAACATGTGATGTTCGATGAGTTCACGCAGTCCCAACCTCTGCTTCGAAGTGAGCAAAACAGACGAACAGAAATATAATGATGAATGTTTCATCACCATGTGATGCCAAATGCGTTCATGGAGTGGCAATGTTTGGCTCGAAGTGAGTGAAACAGGTGAACAGAAGTATCCTGAAGAATGCTCCTTTGCCATGTGATTTTCAATGAGCTGGCGCAGTCACAACCTATGCTTCGAAGCAAGCAAAAAAAGTGGACAAAAGTATCATGACGCATGTTTCTTTGTCATGCGTTATTCAACGAGCGGACGGAGCGGCGGAATTTGCTTCGAAGTAAGCAAGTGAGGTGAACAGAAGTATCGTAAGCAATGTTTCTTTTCCATGTGATGTTCAATGAGTTGACTGAGTCGCCATGTCTGCTTCGAAGTGAGTAAAACAAGTAAACAGAACTCTGGTAAGGAATGTTCCTTTGCCATGTGTTATTCCATGAGCTGACGCAGTCGCAAGATTTGCTTCGAAGTGAGCAAAACTGATGAAATCAACTATTGTACGCGCTGTTCCGCTGTCATGCGACGCTCGATAACCTCACCCAGTTGCAACCACTGCATCGAATTGAGCAAAAAAGGGGAACAGAAATATCCTAAGGACTGTTCCTTTGCCATCTGTTGTTCAATGACTTCACGCAGTCGCAACCTCTGCTTCGAAGTGAGCAAAACAGGTGGAATAAAATATTATGAGGAACGTCCCGTTGTCATGTGATGATCGACGAGCTAACGCTGTCGCAACCTCAGCTGCGAAGTGACCAAAAGAGGTGAACGGAACTCTGGTGAGGAATGTTTATTTGGCATGCAATATTCGATGAGCTGACGGAGTCGCAGTGTTTCCTTCGAAATAAACAAAAGAGGTGAACGAAAGTATCATGAAGTATCTTCATTTGCCATGTGATATTCGATGAGCTGACGCAGTCGCAGTGTTTCCCTCAAAGTGAGCTAAGTTGGCGAAAAGAAGCATCCTAAACAATGCTTTTTTGCCATGTGATGTTAGATGAGTTGACCAAGTCGCAATCTCTGCTTCGTAGTGAGCAAAACAAGTGAACAGAACTATGGTAAGAAATGTTTCTTTGTCATGTGAAGCTCGATGAGCGGATGGATTCGCAACCTCCACTTTGAAGTGAGCAAAAGAGCTGAATAGAAGTATGATGACGAGTGTTCATTTGCCATGTGCTGTTTGATGAGCTGACTGAGTCCCAATGCCTACTTCGAAGTGAGCAAAACAAATTAAATCGACTGTTGTAAGGAAGACTCTTTGTCATGTGCTCTTCGATGAGCTGACGCAGTTGCAACCTCCACTTTGAAGTGAGCAAAAGAGCTGAATAGAAGTATGATGATGAATGTTGCTTTACCATGTGATGCTCGATTAGCTAACGCAGTCGCATCGTTTCCTTCGAAGTGAGCAAAAGAGGTGAAATTAAGTATTGTACGGAATACTCTGCTGCCATGTGTTGCTAAATGAGCTGATGCAGCCGGACTTTCAGCGTCAAAGTGTGCAAATGAAGTGAACAGAAGTTTGATGAAGCATGTTGCTTTGCCATGTGATATTCGATGAGCTGACGCAGTTGCGACCTGTTTCGAAGTGCGACGAAAACGTGAACAGAAGCATCCTAAGCAATGTTCCTTTGTCATGCGATATTCGATGAGCTGACGCAGGCGGAATTTCAGTTTCTTAGTAAGCAAAAGAAGCGAAAAGAACTATCATGATGAATGTTCCTTTACCATGTGATGTTCGACGAGCTGACGGAGTCGCAACGTTCGCTTAGAATTAAGAAAGACAGTTGAACAAAAGTATGATGATGAATGCTCGTTTGGCATGTGATGATCGATGAGCGAGCGCAGTCGCGATGTTCGCTTCAAAGCGAACAAAACAAGTGAGATTAACTATTGTTGGGAATGTCCCGTTCCCATGTGATGTTCGATGAGCTGACTGAGTGGCAACGTCTGCTTCGAAGTGTTCAAAAGAGGTGAACAAAAGTATCATGAAGCATGTACCTTTTCCATGCGATATTCAATGAGCTGACGGAATGGTAGCGTTTGCTTTCATGTGAGCAAAGGAGATGACGAGCAGTGTCTTAATGAATGTTCGTTCACCAGGTAATGTTCGATGAGCTGACGCAGTTCGCAGCTTCTTCTTTGAGGTGAGCAAAACAGTTGAATAGAAGTATGATGACGAATGTTCTGCTGTCAAGTGATGCTTGATGAGCTGATGCAGTTCGCAACTTCTCCTTCGAAGTGAGCAAAACATTTGAATTGAAGTATGGTGTCGAATGTTTCTTTGACATGTGATAATCGATGAGCGAACACAGTCGCGATATTCGCTTCAAAGTGAGCAAAACAGGTGATATTTACTATTGTGGGGATTGTTTCGTTGCCATACGATGTTAGATGAGCTGACTGAGTGGCAACTTCTACTTCGAAGTGAGCAAAACACTTGAATAGAAGTATGATCACGAATGTTCTGCTGTCAGGTGATGCTTGATGAGCTGATGCAGTTAGCAACTTCTCCTTCGAAGTGAGCGAAACACTTGAATAGAAGTATGGTGACGAGTACTCCGTTAGCATGTGATGTTTGATTAGCTGAGAAAGTCGCAACGTTTGCTTCAAATTGAGGAACATATGTGCTGAGTTGTGTCATTTGTGCGTATGTGACAATTAACTCGTAAAATGGAAAAAGTGGTGAGGAAAAAGACAAAGCAAGGCGATCTTCTCGTGTGTAGAAAAGACGTATTTGTGTGTGGGGTAGTTCTTCTGCGTTGTTGCATTTTGGATCGAAAAGGATACGATATTAGATTTCGAAAGGGAGGCGCGTCCACGTCCGCGGGCGCCGCTTCGGAAAGTCAATTTTCTGTATTCTTTTTTTGTGGAAGTCTTTCAGTGTTTCGTATTGTTTCTTGGTGAATTTTTTCAATATTTTCTGCGTTTGGTTCATTTTTTTCTAATATAGTTAGTGTCCTTTTGACATTTCGTATGCTTTTAGAATTCTTGGTTTGAGAGGATGTCGGTGATGATGATGGTCAGCATAGCACACTAAGATCATGATTTCTTAAATTTATTGAAAACAGATCGGTGTATTTTTTTTAACGAGTAAACAAATCAATTTGTTGTATCTCAACCCCTAAACTTCAGCAATGAGGGTGTGGGTGTTGGTGTGACTAGCTACCATGATCTATAGATTTCATCCTTGCAAAAGGAATCATCAGATGGTAAATAATTCTAATGATTAAAATTTTTTTACAAAATCAAAATCAAAAGATTAATTTATACTCTGTCATATATAAAAAAGAAATAATTCTTTAAATATATATATGATGATAAAAACTGGGTTTGGGTGTGGGTGTGAACAGCTACCAAGACTAGTTTCATCCTTGCTTAAGGGAATCATCAGTTGGCAAATAATCTCAATGATTAAATTCAAAATAAATTTTAAATAAATTTTAAAACAATCACAAGAATAAACTATACTGTTATATATTATAAAAATTTTTGACAAAAATCAAAAACAAATATATAATGATAGTATCCATTTACTGAAGTGTGAACAGCTACCAAGACTAGTTTCATCTTTGCTTAAGGGAATCATCAGTTGGGAAATAATCTAAATGATTAAAAATCACAAGATTAAAATATACTGTTATATAATACGAAAACTTTTCGACAAAAATCAAAAATAAATCATAATATATAATGATATTATCCATATACAGTAGTGTGAATAGCTACCAAGACTAGTTTCATCATTGCTTAAGGGATTCGTCAGTTGGCGGTGAGGGTGAGGGTGTGTGTAATAGCTACCAAGACGCGTGTCGTCCCTGCTAAAGGACTCATCAGTTGGCTTAATCTATTTAAGATTTGAACTAAATAAATAGATAAATTTAAATATATAATTTAGAAAGCATACCACGACCGGTTTCGATCTTGCTTAAGGGACTCTTCAGTTGGCAAATAATCTAAATGATTAAAAATGGCAAGATTAAAATATACTGTTATATATTATATGAAAATTTTTGACAAAAATCAAAAGTAAATAATAATATATAAGGATATTATCCATTTATTCGGGTGTGTATTATTTTTAAAGAAATTTAACCACGATCTAGATGTCGACTTTTCTCAAGGGTCATCATCAGGTAGTTGAAGCACTGCATATCATATTAAATTAAAAGGAAAAATTTCAAAAGAAATAATTCCTTCTACTTTTAATATCAAAGCAAAGCAGAGATGTCTTAAATATAATATGATGTGTATTATTTTTAAAGAAATTTAACCACGATCTAGATGGTGTCGGCCTTGACATAGGCATTTTCTAGAATTTAATAGCACATGCCAGCATCCACACCTCGCATCCCACACCCCACACCCTCAAGGTTTATGATGTTAATAGACTTTTTAAGGTTATATTACTGCTGATATACCCTAAAGGGTTTATCAAAGTGTAATGGGTGAAATATCCTTTTTCGGTTTATCAGCTGAAGGGGTATATAACATGGTTTATGGTATTAATGAATCAAAAAAGCGTATATGAAGAGGTTTATTAGCCTTATAAATCCTTTTGAAGGGTTTATTATTCTGCGCGCATTTTTTTCAGTACATGAATCATCATCTCGAAGGAAGGACCCTATAAATAGTCTATTTGTTGCAGACTTGATATTTTATTCTTCTACAACACTCTCACAAGTCAACACAATAGCACAATAGCACAATTGCATATGGCAAACGAACAACAGATGAAAGCATGGTTAAACGAACACGGTCCAGATGGCGGACGAGTCATTATTTTCAAAGACGGTTGTCCGTTTAAAGCTGGCCAGTATAATTCGAAAGTACATGTGGAAACACCTTATGGCTGGAAACCTTTAGAAATGACGGCTGGATACAATATCTACGTTGGGCCGCAAGGAGAATGGGAGAATAAAGGAGACGGTGGGTGGGTTAATTGGGCATTCCAGGGTGGAAAGAGAGTCGGTGACAAAAAAGTGATATTTTAAATTAAATTAACGAATGCGAGAGGGGTGTGGGTTTGAGAATGAGCTGTTGATATTTATTTGATTTTGGAAATTGTATTNCGCCATGCATATAAATACAATTTCCAAAATCAAATAAATATCAACAGCTCATTCTCAAACCCTTGCTTAAGGGTCTCATCAGACGGCTGATATTTTATTATATATGTAGTCTGTTCTAATGATCCGAAATTCACAAACAAGACTTGCATTTATAACAGACCTAGTCATTCTAGAAAGAATGCATAGATATACGTTATATAGGGTGTGTTTTAGCTAACCGTTACGCGTTTCAACCTTGCTTAAGGGACTCATGAGATCGCTTTATCCTTGAACTGTTCCATGATTCAATGAACAGAGGACATCTTTTACTGTACTTTGCTACGGAGAGGAGTTCATGATTCGTAATTGATTGAGCATGGGTTTGAGAATGAGCTGTTGATATTTATTTGATTTTGGAAATTGTATTTATATGCATGGCGTGTGGTAATGAAGGATGATACAATAGTTGGTGCCTCTTGGCGTCTTTGATGAGTGGCGGTTTGTGTGTTTTTGTTTAATTTGTTTTGTGACATTGAGATTGTCCTGTTTTCACTTTGTCTATGGACTCGATCTAATAGTTGATTCGGAAATGTGATTGAGGGGATGATTTTGAGGTGATTCGTTTTTGGTAATTATTTATGTATGCGTTCCTGACTGTGCCGCTACGGATGCAGCTCATATGGTAATTATAGTGGATGTGGTTTTTACAAGGTAGATTGTTTACGATCTGGTATTACTTTTCATTTTTTCTTTCAATAGAGAGATGTTTATTTTCATTTTTTAATAAGAGTACAGAATGTGAAATATACTAAGTTATTGACTTGTTTGATTGGATTGAATATTCGCTGTTCGTTCATCCGTCTCAGGTTGCGTTTTACCCTGTTTGTCGCTTCTCTCATTCGGAATATGTTTGATCATCTTCGTCATCAATTCTTGTTTTAAGTTGTGATTCAGATAAGTTCCAATGATCAGAACAGTGTTCATGATCTCTGTTTGATGGAAAGTGTGACTCCACAATTCATAAATATATCGGTGATTATTCGCAAGTCTTTTTTCATGTCTTCGATGAATGATGAGACGTTTTCTTGTTATTAATTCGTTGTTCTTTGTAGGTTGCTGAATATGATTTTGTATGTTTTTGTCATGAGTTTGATTGGTAGTTGAGGTTCTGGTTACTTTATCGTATGCTGTAGCTGTTGATGCTGTCAATAACTGATGACGTAAATAATCGAAGTCATCAGAGTTATTGAACATAGGCAAAATGAAATA